TAATATGAGAAGGTAAATTTGGTTTTGTGCTATTTTTTAAGGGGCTTCGAAACTCAGAATATACTGAGCTTTTTGGTGAGATATGAGAGCCGGAAGAGTCATAATTATCAGGTTTCTAAAATAAATATATATTTAATATGTAAATATATAAAATTTAATTTAAAATAATTGAAAACTTTACCAGATCTTGTTTTTTATTGAAAAAATCTTCAACACCATCATTATCCTAAGATTCTGGAAGATCAACAACACTAATCAATGTAGACAAGACATCTTTTTTTTGTTATTCACTTGGCCTTGAATATATACGATATGACGATTTGCTTTTATGGCCGGTTATTGATATCGAGGTAACAATCAGAATACCCTCACGAAATAAGTATATAATTGGTGTGGTTTTTCCTGAATGATTAATGATATCACGATTTTTGATATTTATTTCAACATTGAAACAAATATTTTTCATAAAATTACTACACGAATTTTGTCCTAATTTAATATTGAGATACTACTTGCTATCATTATATTCTATATTAAATAATTATAAATTACTGTAAAATAATATATTAATTAAAGTAAATAAGAAAAAAAATACCATGATGTCTTTATTAATTTTGAGATGTAAAAATTGACATGCACAATTTGTGGGTCTTTTGCTTAAATACAACTTAATATCGTGAACGGGCCCTAAATACCCTTCAGGATCTGCAGATACTGGTATTATAAGCGAATCCAAATTTTTTTCAATACCGCCGGGATCATTTTTCTGAGAAAATTTTGTAAACTGAATCCCTCCATTACTAAGAAAAGTAAACTGCGTAACCTTCATTTGACTATGTTCACTACCACGTGGAGCAAAAAGGAGACAACACCATATAAACACCCGATATTGAAGCCTCTTGGCTGTATTAATCAACAATGTCTTATGATTAAATATTGTCTTTAATTCGTTAGGTGACAATGGATCATGATGCTTGGTAACCTTTTCGGATTGCTTTAAAACCTTCATTTTTCCATTAAGAACTTCCTACAATAAAGAAAATTCACTTTTATTGTTAATTACAAATTTTTGACTACCACCCAGATGCTTATAAATGTAATTACTTAAACAATTATAAGCGTTAACTAATGAAGAAGGACTATAATCACTTCCATCTTGAATTTTTTGTACACAACAGAAAAATTCTGTCATTTTCTTTTCAAGCTGGTCTTTACTAGTGATCGTTTCGATACTATAACAATATCCAATATTATTCTGCCACCTATTACCCACTTTTGTGTAGCCTTGCGAGTATTTTCTGAAATACAAGATTCAATTATTTCATCGATTTTTTTATCAGTAGATAAGTAATCACCACGCATTTTAGTATTTAATTTTTTTTTTTCCTAATGTAAAATTCAATTATTTTTTTGTTATTTTAAATAATATAAAAATTTTGCTCTAAATATTGCAAACAAAAATTCTGTGCCAGGTTTTGTTGATCATGTGGTGCAAATCTCATGATCCACAAATCAGATTTCAAGGATCAGGTGTAATGTAACACGATCAGAAAATTTTAAAACAAACGTTCGTTTTTGTTAAAAATCGCATATTTCTCAAAATCTGCATAAAAAACTACTTTTAGTGTTTTAAAAAAGTTTTCCCTAAGCAATTTTACTATATAACCATCTAACCTCTAATCTTGTTCTAAATGCTAACCTTGATATTAATGAACTTTAAAAAATTTTGCTGTGCTACATGATCGACAAAACCTGGCACAGCTTTTTTGTTTGCCTAAATATTTAACTATAACATATCATCAAGACAACTCGGATCAGCGTTAGCAGATATAACAGACTTGGATTAGCACCAACAGGTACAACAAACTTGGACCAGCATTAACAGATGCAACAGACTTGGATCAGCATTCGTAGATACCAAAAGACTTGAAACAGTATTGGTAGGTATCACAGACTTGAGACAGCGTTAGTAGGTATTAAAAAACTTGGAACAGCATTGGTAAGTACTACAGACTTGGATTAACACTTTCAGGTACAATAGACTTGAAGTTTCGTCAGCTTCAAAAAACCCCTTTTGTAATATATATTTGGGCGTACACAATTCAGATATGTAATTAAAGAGGCACAGACCTCAAAATTTAAAATATATACTCTTAGGGATATAGCGAAAGTATTAAAAGCTCTAAAAAAAAATTGTCAGGTAAAAATCTATTTATACTATTATTTCAAAGTCTAATGCATTAAACAATACGTATTAATTTTTGAATCGCTAATCGTTGTAAAAAAAAATAAATCCATTATTGCATGCTACGCAGCAATAACTATCGTATCATATGCTTAAAATCTACTGGCTCTTTTGCTTACTAGAAAAGTGTGCAAGCACATGATTTGTTGCTTCACGGCAGATCATGTACTTGCACACTTTTCTAGTAAGCAAAAGAGCCAGTAGATTTTAAGCACATGATACTTTACATATTTTATGTTCTCTTCCTAATTGTACAGTGACCCAGCTGTACCGGCTGAGATCACCAACCAATCAGGATCATCCATAAAATACTACAGTTATTGCATGCTTCGCATGCAATAACTATTTATTATTTGATTAGTAAATCGACCAATATAGGAAATGTTCGTGGATTGTATAAAGATGGGTTATATTCAGATAACAATTATATATCGAAGAAGCTGCTAAAAAGGGTCATTCACATGCTTGTTGTCAAGTAGGTCAATATAATTTAAATGACGATAAATCTTTAAAATTTTTACATAAAGCTAGAGATCTAGGATATAATAGGTCACTTTTTTATCTTAAAGAATATTATAGATTAGTTTCACCAATAGATAAATATAAAAGTTGTATGTATTTAAAAGAATATATTAATAAAGTTAAACATCGCATTGGTTATTAAGCAAATAATGGTTCGTTCTCTCTATTTATATTAACAATTTAGAGACTTGTATAATTTAGTTTAAGAGGTTTAATTCTTAATGTTAGAAGAATATAAGAAACTGTATCAGCACAAGGTATAAAATTCGATGTCCAAATCATCTGATGTTGAAGATTCATGATATTCATACGTAAAAACTTCTGTTGCTTGAGCTGTCAAGAAAAATCAAATTTAAGGTATGTTTGGTGGCATTCCTAAAGGAATGAGTGATGTGTTATTTAAAGATGCATCTCTTGGTAGTAAAATCTGATAAAACAAATTTCAAAAGGTCAAAATAAATCGAAACTTTATTAGCATTGGTTTTCAATAAAATGTTATCATAATTATTTGAACTGAAAAGTATGCGAGAAACTTATAAAATTTATTTTTTACACGTTATTTTTAATTTATAAAATTTCATTTCTTGGTTATTATAAATATCCATAAGCAAGAATAGTAATCAGGCACGTTTCGCTTTTCAAAAAATTAATAAATAAAGAATAATTACCTGAGTTTAGAGCCACAGGGATTTGAGCAACTGCTTCAGATAGAAATACAAAACTTGAGAGAAACTGCATGCTCTCAAGATATTGTATTGTAATGAGTGATAATTGTTAGAAATTACAGCTTTTTTAATTATATTTATAATTAATAAAAGTAAAGGGTATTTTGATTGTTCATTTTTGCCAAGGAGAAACAATTCCAATTTATCTGATTATATATTTTTTTATATAATAGATGATTTTGTACAATTATTAATATAAACATATACCAAACCTGTCTTAAACTTTTCAAA